CTCGAACGATAAAATTGTTAATTCAGAGATTCGAGTCTCTCACAGAGAGACTGAATGAATAAAACTGAAAAATTGAGAGACTCGAGTCTCTCGTAGAAAGACTGGGATCTCTGAAATATGTTGAATTTAGAAAATTTTAGCCATGTTTATCGAGACACCCCTTATTGAGAGATTCCAGTCTTTTGTTCAGAGACTGGATACGAAATGAGGATCTCTCTATGAGCGACTCGAGTATCTCGTTCAGAGACGCTAAACAGTTTTTTTGACAGTCTCTCGACAGTCTCTCTCAGCGACACCAGAGAGACTCGATGAGAGACGGAGACTCGAGTCTCGCTTTCAGAGACTCTGAGAGACTGAACTTTTTTATCTCGGGCAGACGCACGAGAGTTCCGTTTTCCAATCGGACGTACGGAACCCTAAAAAAAGAAATACAAGTCTGAACAAATGAGTAAACTAATGAAACTGCATTGTTTACCACTTCAAAAGAAAGTGAATCCTACTTATATGATTGCAGTTCATGAATTAACCGTTTAGCTAATTTGTCGCTCCGCGTGCATTAATTAACATCGCCGCTACGAAATTAAAAGTAACCGGAATGCCTTTTCAAACGTGCTTAACAAATTACAATATATTTAAAGGTGGTTTTGCAGTCGATTGCCCACTCATGCCGCGACAAATTTACGCATGTAGTCGGACAGAGGGACAGGACGCGGGTTTACGAGAGAGCTTGTTTTCAATTAAAATAATAAATGACGCTATTAGACTGGGCTTGCCTTGATTATGCATCTCGTATGCAGTCGTTAACAACTTCATACCTGTTTTTGACTGTAAACTTATCACCTAACATTAAGCGCAAATGGGCGGTAAATATGTACCTGATCTTTCTTGTACCGTTTATTGGAACATTAAAGGTCTTAGTTAACACGAAAAGAGTCGAAATAACTTCCAATAAGCACGTCTCAATACAGTACACTTGAAAAATTACCTACAATTAAGAAACACGCATCTATGTGCATGTATACGTGCT